AGGCTATCCCAGATTTACCCCAATGTATCAAACTCTTGTAATAGGTGCGGGGGATCCCCAGCCAATCATTTCCATATGTTCTGGTCTTGCCTCAGAGTTGCTACATTTTGGTCTCAAATCTTCTCAACTCTTAATGCATATAATATGTTTGGGATGCCCTTACAGCCTACTACCTCTAACACCATGCGGACTGTTTTCGCCTATGCCACCTTATTGGCTACACGACTTATACTTCTCAGTTGGAAGCACACCCTTCCACCACCCTAACAGGTGGGTTGAAGAGCTACTATTGACCATGTAGGTACTACCACAGTACTTTTAAGGACTCTAACTCCCATAATTCCACTGCTTCCGGTAAATCCATATACGTCACGATCAGTGACCGCCGCAACCTTTAAATTGGGGGGTCACCCCCAATTCCAGTCTCTCTGTTCAGGACTTTCTCTCCGTGGGACCCCTGATGAAAAGAGAAACCTGCTTGTCTCAGAATAAGAACCAACATGCTTTTGTAGACACCATTGCCCACGGTGATAAATGCACTAGCAGTATCTTTTTCTTAACTGAGTTAACCGGTAATTAAGTTACATAAGTAACGTATTGCTGCGACCAAGGCGGTTATTGCAATATCAATGAAAGGAAATGAATGAAGCCTGTGCTCTTGGTTTGTTGGATGATTTTTACAGTACAGAGCCATTGACTCAGATTTGATTTCAGAGGATATTTTTCAATCCTCCTGACCCAGTGGGTCAACGTTTTACTCATTTTTTGAACAGATTTTTCTTTAATATTTCTACAAAGCCTACGCCGAGTCTCAAACCTGTCTGGCTCGGCTGCTGTTTCAGCCCAGCTGGTTCTTTCCTGTTCTGTTAGCACGCTGTGGCAGCCCCATGCTGCGATGAAACATGACATGCATGGTTGATGCCGTGTGTGTTGTCTATTGTTACTTCTCTTACAGTTGTTTTGACAAGGTTTGATATTGTTTCCACATATTGCAACACTTGTTCCACATGTTCATAATTTGTTTGTGTATTTTTGTTTGTGTGCAACATGTTTGTTTTATCATCCATCCATCATAACGATGCCAATAAATGTATAAATGTCATGTTTGTTTACAGCATCCCCTAATATCTGTTGTTAGAATGTTGGTTTGCAAACAGATGGTTTGTGACCCCCAAATGGTTTGCAGAGACACTGATCAGTCCATCAATCTTTTATATATAGTTTTAAATTTTTAATGCATGCTTAAATGACATGAATTGATAATGCTGTGTGTTATTTGAACTTCATTATAAATGTATATTATCAAATATAAAAACATAAAAGCATATATATATACACTATATTACCAAAAGTATTCGCTCACCCATTCAAATGATCAGAATCAGGTGTCCTAATCCCTTGGCCTGGCCACAGGTGTATAAAATCAAGCAAGTCGCCGACTTTCTGCACAGTCAATTGCTACAGAGCTACAAACTTCATGTGACCTTCAGATTAGCCCAAGTACAGTACGCAGAGAGCTTCATGGAATGGGTTTCCATGGCCGAGCAGCTGCAGCCAAGCCACACATCACCAAGTGCAATGCAAAGCGTCGGATGCAATGGTGTAAAGCACGCCGCCACTGGCCTCTAGAGCAGTGGAGACGCGTTCTCTGGAGTGATGAATCACGCTTTTCCATCTGGCAATCTGATGGACGAGTCTGGGTTTGGAGGTTGCCAGGAGAACGGTACATTTCAGACTGCATTGTGCCGACTGTGAAATTTGGTGGAGGAGGAATTATGGTGTGGGGTTGTTTTTCAGGAGCTGGGCTTGGCCCCTTAGTTCCAGTGAAAGGAACTTTGAATGCTTCAGGATACCAAAACATTTTGGACAATTCCATGCTCCCAACCTTGTGGGAACAGTTTGGAGCGGGCCCCTTCCTCTTCCAACATGACTGTGCACCAGTGCACAAAGCAAGGTCCATAAAGACATGGATGACAGAGTCTGGTGTGGATGAACTTGACTGGCCTCCACAGAGTCCTGACCTGAACCCGATAGAACACCTTTGGGATGAATTAGAGCGGAGACTGAGAGCCAGGCCTTCTCGACCAACATTAGTGTGTGACCTCACCAATGCGCTTTTGGAAGAATGGTCAAAAATTCCTATAAACACTCTCCTCAACCTTGTGGACAGTCTTCCCAGAAGAGTTGAAGCTGTAATAGCTGCAAAAGGTGGACCGACATCATATTGAACTCTGGGTTAGGAATGGGATGGCACTTCAGTTCATAGTATGAGTCAAGGCAGGTGAGCGAATACTTTTGGTAATATAGTGTATATATAGCATAAAGCTTATAAAAACAACACGACCTGTGTTTTGTCTGTTGTTTTTAGTTTCTGCACAGTATTTGTTTTCAGCATTTTTACTTCTTTTAATGTTACTAGAACTGGTGTTATTACTGATATTAGTTATGGTGGACACTGATTAGAAAGGAAAGGAAAGTGAACTCCTTGTCATTGTGACACACACCACTGCGCACAACAAAATTTGACCTCTGCATTTAATCACCAAAGTGGGCAGCTTTGGTGATGCCCGGGAGCAGTGTGTGGGTACGGTGCCATGCTCAGAGCACCTCAGTGGTAACTTGGGAGGTGGTGGACTCGAACCTGAAACTTTCTGGACCCAAATTCGCTTTCTCAACCACTAACCCACCACTGCCCCAGTAGATAGTCGTAGTACAGGGGTTTCAAACTCATTTTGGTTCAGGCGCCACATACAGCCTGATTAGATATCAAGTGGGCCAAACCAGTACAATCATAACATAATTCCCTTTGTTTTCAAGCAAATAAGTACAACTATATTAGTAAACATTCATATTTAATTAACTTTAATTTGACAAAACGTCAAGAACATGAAGTGTTTAGCATGAAGTGTCTAGCCAGATTGAAACGGCTTGCAGGCCTGTTTTGGCTCCACGTGCCGTATGTTTGACACCCCTGGATTAGTAGATTAGAAAGAAGTTTGTGTAAAATATTCTGGTCTGCCACATATTGAAACACAGGGATGGCTGTGTATTCTATCAGATAAAGAGAAGCTGATGTAACGGCTCCATAAAGATCTGCGTCAGCCATAATCATCCTTTCATCTTAGGCTATTTCTGTCCTCCGTGTTGTTCTCCAGTTTGGGAAAACTGTTAAAATTATCATCTGGATGCTTTGATCTACTGGATCAATATAAAAAAACACATCAAAGAGTCTTTTCTGGACATATGGCTGCATAATTTAATATGTTTATCAGATTTGAGATCACCAGAAGAAAAGCTCCAAATAATACTCTCTCAAAAAGATGTGACTTGTTTGTGATGTGATGGCTTTTATGTACCGTCGTTCCTTCATTGTGCTAAAATTAATGTTATACCCAAACCACATACAGTATAGTAGACAGAACTAAGACCAAATACTGACACACGACTTTACATATTTGATTTACAAAAATAGCAAATCCAATCAATTGGTAGACTCCACTTTATTGCTCCTACCCACATGCATGTAAGGATCCATTTGCTTGTGCCTCCCTGTACTGTATTACTGCTCTTGGGGCATCCGTGTAAAACAAGATTCACTGCTTTTATTTCCTGGTTGATTTATGTTCTGATGTTTTCTTTTGCACTCACAATCACATTACTGAAAAGAAAGCCAGAACCAAGTGTGTGGTACATACACCGTCAGTCTTTTTCCATGTCATCCACGTAGTCATTCAATAAACTGTACTGTATTATACATCTCCAATCCATAAAGAATTACCAACAGAAATCTCCATGGTTGCACATTCAGGAGTGGCACAATGGTAACTAAAGTAGTTGCATATTCTGTTATTTCATCACTATATTAATATTATATACACTACTATATAATACTATAGTGATATTGATTATTTTAAGGGATTAAAATTGTTCAACACTGGAGTAAGCTTTTTCATTTACTAAGATCATGCACTGAGATGCTGCTCCTAAGTTAGTTCTCAGGTGAAACAGTTAAAAAACATTACTATGGTAATGTTATAAAGAAGGAAAAGCCAGCATTTGTCTTTTTTGTTTTTTTAGCTGCTATTTTTAAAAATCTGTTGTTTTTTGTCCGATTCTGTGCTGGTTTGTCCAGACCTTTGAGTTTCCTCTCATCTCAGTGGCATGCAAATAAAAACAAGCATGGATCAGGAGGATAATATTTACATTCGGAATGGATAAAATAATTGAATACTACATATTTAACGATGCAAAAATGATGAGTAAGCAGTAAGCTGAGTGAGCTGTTAAATTGTGTGGAGGCAACGTGTCATCTATTCATAAAATGGTTTATTAAGAAAATAGAATACATAAAAATAAATAAAAAACATGGATAGATAGATAGATAGATAGATAGATAGATAGATAGATAGATTAATAGATAGATAGATAGATAGATAGATAGATATACTTTTTTGATCACAAGCTGGAAAATTACAATTAACCACTGCTGTTTCTATTAACTGAGGAAATGTCTTCGGACTTTGATTTGTTCGAGGACAATGTGAGAAACATCTTTGCCCACTTTTATAAATGTGATCATAACCTTGGTGAAAGTAGCAGATCATTCTGTCTGTTGAACTACAGTAAAAACGCCCCAATTACAGCAGCAGTATTGCAAGTGCAAGTGAGTTTACAACATGAGGGTTATTTTGTGGTCACTGAAATACGGTTAGTAGTGCCTCATTGCTCTGGATTACACAATTAGTAGTCCAGTGCATTCAAAGGATAAACTGGTTTGACATGAGAGGCTAATGAGGAAAACGCTGAGGAGAGAATCGTGTCCAATGGACCAAGATGAGAAAGTATCACTACCAGCTAGTCCTATGCTAATTCATGTGTGATCACAACCAATCAGATGGCATATATATATTTGAAGAACCTGCAGTACAAACTAAATACAGTGTCTGTTTTTTGTTTAATGATGTAAGAGTAGTAAAGCTTGCCCCCTGTCCACTTTACAGGTGCCATCTTTGATGAGTCAGCAAGAAAAGATGACGAGGTGTTACGCCTGGCTGTGGCAGATCTGAACCTGAACAATGAAATCTTGGAGACAGAGAAGGTGACCATCTCTGTGGCCTTCGTCGATGGGAACAACCCTTTCCAGGCCGTGCAGGAAGGTAGGCTGACCGATCCTAATCCTAATCCTATTTACACCGGATTGTTTTGCAAAGAACTACAACAGAAAAACCAAGAAATCCTAATCTGCTTCAGTTCTTTGTTTTCATTTAGTCCTATTAATGTAACATCAAGAAGGTCACCTGTTTTAAGGCAGGCGCTGGGCGAGGGGGAGGGGGAGGGGGGGGGGGGGGGGGGGCTGGTGTGAATGGATGTCTGTATGTAACTGTGACTCTGGGATGGACACTCTGAATAGCTGTTCACTGGAAGGTTCTTCAGTAACACTGTACCCAAAAGTGTTTTCACTGAACAACCGCTTCCTGCTTAACTCATTTACTACAAGATACCTGCATCATCTTACAACTGAAGTGTCACAGTTTAGCATTTGTGTGATAATATCACATTTAGCCGTGGTTAATGCCTTTAATCTTCCTGCTCCCGTGTCAATATTGTGTTAACATTGTTTCAAGTCCAACAAATAGCAGAATGTGGCTGATCTAACTGCATGATTGTGTGAACTGTTAGAGGAGCTTGCGTAAATGTGCAGGATGTTTACAGATCAACATGTGTCTTTGTGTTCTGAAAAGCCTTGTTACAGCTGATGCTTTGATACAATCACCACGCGGTTCTCTTCGGTAGTCGCACTATAATTCTTTGAAGAATCGACCTCCATCAGGTCTCTTGTGTGCGTGTTTGTTTTTTCCTTTAATCCTGTGTACAAGAAACAACCCATGTCTCAAGTGTCTCAGCTCTGAGTGGAATGAAGGCAGTGAGTCAGAGAAAAACACCTAAAAGCACAGAGGGAGGCAACACTTTTGACAGAGCAGACTGAAGCAGCATCCTTCCTTAGTTTGATTTTCCTCATTCCTTTTTCTAATAAGATGAAAGAGAGAGGGAATGAAAAAGCAGGAAGGTAAAGTGTGTTTCCACCCTGCTGGTTTCCTATACAGCTGCTTGGGTTGAACTCCATACTCTTTCACATCTTCCCTGTCTTCCTCTTGCATGGTCCTTTAGTTTTAGACCTGCTCTTGTCACTTACATCCACATTTCACACCTAAGTAACCTCTACTAACCAACCTGGCCCACACACTTGCTAACACACACATTTTCATTGTAATCTGGCTAGAAATCTCTTAGCAACTGGGTGGATCTGGGAGGAATGGTGTGTGTGTGTGTGGATGTGCACATGCTGTGTTCATGTCTCCATCAATTAATACAATGAAAATCACCTAATTGGATAATGGTCAATTGGAAGGCAGGAACGGGTGGGGGCAAAGGGAACGGAGAGCAGGACGATAGGGGGTGAATTCGATACTTGTCTCAGTTTATTTTTCATCTTTATTTAGTCTTGACACTTAAAGCATGAGACTGCGTATCAACACACCTGGAGAAAAATTAAGATTGTCCAATAGTTGTACTCATGAAAACAGAGAGGAAAACATGGACTTATTGTTATTTATAGGTAATTATGTTATGATTGTGCTGGTCCGGCCCACCTGACATCTAATCAGGCTGCATGCGGGCCCTAAACCAAAATTAGTTTGACACCCCTGCTTTACAGTCTTGTACTTGTTAGATTTCAGTGGTTTTCACATTTGGTTGGGTTTGCAGCAGGAAGCTGATAAGATACCAAAAGGCTTTCCCGAACACACACAGTCACATAGCCCCACAAACCAACTTTCTAAAACACCTCTCTTCTCCCTGGGAAAAATGGGAAATCTCCCAATCTACCTTTTCACAGAAACCCTAGAGCCATCCATTCCTTTTGATCTACATGAACACCTGTGGTTGACTGGACTTTATGGCTCCGTCCACTTCCCTTGTGATAACCCCCCACTCAGCAACAAAAGGTTCTTCCAACACTGCTGAATCATGGAACTGCAGGGCGACTGCAGGCATCACATGATACAAGAACAATAATATGATTGGCCACAAGAGGCCTAGCCTCTCTCTTCCATTGGCCTACAACATTTAAACACACACCCGGGAAGTTGAAAACCACTCCTCCCACACAGGTATAGAAGCGTAAACAACTAATGATACTTTAGAAGTTATTCTTGAGAATTTATTCTTAGGAAGTTTGAGTTCTTGGATTTGCATATTAACAACTGTTGTACGAGATTTCCTTGTATACTTCTCCAATCGTTTATTTTGCTTTATTGTTGGACCTGTTTTGTTTGATGTTTTGCTATTAAAACAAATTGACCATCTACCGGCTGCTTCCATTCCTTGCCTGAAGACACCTCGCACAGCAAGAATTTTTCAACTGGTGCTGTGATCCGGATCAAACTATAGCAAGAATCTTTCATACTGCAGTTTACAGCCTCCAAATAACACATCTGAAACAGGTTAAATACTTTCTATTAGCTTGAATCTGTGTGAGATGCTAAACAGCCACTCACACATTTAGCAATTAATGAGCACAGATAACAAACTTCATTATTGCAGGAGTAAAAAGTAGTAAGTAGTAAGTTAGAATACATTAATCACAGCTTTAAAGTAATTCAAACAAATTTGGCCTAATATATTCAGGTTTGGTGCTGAAATGTATCCAACTGGAAGTACCAAAGTAAAATTGATTCAGTTGCTGTTAAAATGGCTAGGTTCCTTGAGTAATGTTATTAAATAACTTAATTTATATATTTTGTAATGGTTTTAATATGTGACCCCTACTAAAATGAGAGAAGATCAACAGGAAAACTCTTAAAAATATTACAAACTCTGTTTACCGACTCAATGACTCTATCAACTTATGCAAACTCCTCTTCCAGCAACAAAACTTTGCGTCATTTCAGATATCACAAACCCCGCGTCCTCAATTAATTAAAAATGCTGCTAAAGTCGACTGTTTTCTGTTTTGATAATGGAGCGACATATATAACACACATAATAAAGATGCATGAGATGCTGTGGTGTTCCTCCGTATAACAGAGAGGTTCATAAAAGTAGATGATGAAAATGTGACTTACAAGATTATTACAAAGGGCTAAAACAAGATCGATTTTACAGATAATAAAATTGAATAACAATTTATTAAAATAAAACAAATCAGGGGCTGAACAATAAGAGTATGTTCAATCATTAGCCCACACATGTCAAACTCAAGGCCCGGGGGCCAAATGTGGCCCGCCAAGTCATTTTATATGGCCCGCGGGAGCTTAGAAAACATTTAATTAAGTCCATGAAGCTTAACCTGATAACTCATAATTTTTTTTATTAAACAACAAACAAATTTGTAACTCAAATATTTAATAATCGATTGCAGAAACATTTATGTTAGTTATGGAGTAGTCACATTTATACAGTGTTCCAGTTATAACGGGCCCTTCACGGAGAACTCTACTGCTGATGTGGTCCCCGGTGAAAATGAGTTTGACACCGCTGCATTAGACGTTTGTCCGAGGGGGTTTAAAATGGTATGAGTTTTAATGCGACTCATCATCTTTTTATTTTATCTACACAATGCTGACACAGCAGAACCAGGAACATTTTGTGCCAAGGAGCTTGAAATGTCACAGGCAGCAAGAAGGGGTTGATGAGTGGAATAACTAAGACAGAGATAGAGACATGTTAGAAATGTAACAACAACACCAATCTGTCTATATCATATACAGTGGAGGAAATAAGTAATTGGCCCCTTGCTGATTTTGTAGGTTTGCCCACTTACAAAGAATGCAACGATTTATAATTTTAATCATATGTATAGTCTAACAGTGAGAAACAGAACCCCAAAGAAAATTCCAGAAAATCACATCATATGAATTTATTTAACCTTCCTCTGGTGTTTCCAAGTTTTAAATGCATTAAAAAACACGTAAATTAGTTTATTGCGTCAAGGCTTTTTGACTTTGTCAAGAACCTCTATTTCAACAAAATAAAACAAAAAAAATTTTTTTTCACTAAATTGTAAAATGCTCGGGTTGAAATTATGACCTTTGTGTTGTTCGGGTCGGGTCGGTTCCGCATGATATCAAGAGTCCTCAGATTTGACAACAGAGATACCAGAGCAAATAAAATAATAATAATAATAAAAAAAAATACTTTTTTGCCCTTTTCTTGAAGTAAATATATATGGGTCGAAACTGACCCGTAACACCATAGATGTTACTATAGTTAATAATATTAAAATTAAAAAATAAATAAAACAAATTTATTTAAGAGATGTGTTCTAATAGTGCTTAGTAATAGGCAGGTAACACAACAACCTTTTATTTATTTATATGATTCTGTTGAGGTTGATTTTACCATTTTTTTTAATTGAAATCGAGGGGTATACTGACAAAAAAAAGGCCCAGAGGCCCACACCAAAAATATTAAAACCAATATTTTCATGGATATGGAAGCCTAACAAGGTAACCAAGAGATGAGAAACAAATTGGATGATAGCTAATTGTTTTTAGTGTATTTTACAGCTGATTTAAGACACGGGTCAAAACCGACCCATTAACATAAGAGATGGTAACAGAAAGCGAACACAAGAGGAAGGTTAAATTGATAACCATTTGATGGGGAAAAACAAGTATGTGACCCGGGTTTTCCGAGTCAATACTTTCTGGAACCACCGTTTGCTGCAATTACAGCTTCAAATCTTTTGGGGTATGTCTCTACAGCAACAGCTCAAGATCAGTCAGATTAGATGGAGAGTGTTTGTGAATGGCAGTTTTTGCTTGCACAAAGGCACCAGCGAAGGTGCATCAGGTAGCAATGCCCAGCAGGCAGACCATCAGCCTGTACCTTCATATATTTTGAACCATTCCATTGTAGCCCTGGCTTTATGTTTATGGGCGTAGTCCTGCTGGAAAAAATCTGTGCCCCAGTCTCAAGTCTTTTGCAGACTCCAACAGGTTTTCTTCCAAGATTGCCCTGTATTTGGCTCCATCCATCTTCCCATCAACGCTGACCATCTTCCCTGATCCCTGCTGAAGAGAAGCACCCCCAGAGCATGATGCTGCCACCACCATGTTTAACAGAGAGTGATGTGCAGTGTTAGTTTTCCGCCACA